GACAGTATCTTGTTCCCAGCACACCTGAGCAGCTGTCCTTTAACCCAGGATCATGGGGCTCAGAGCAAGGGGCAGAAATATGGAACTCTGATGCTTACACCATTAGAATAAAGTTTTTCACCACACTAGACATGGACAAGATGGATCACCTGGTTTGGGAAAATGCTGCAGATGGGCCAGATGTACCCAAGCCCATCTGGGGGAGATCCACTTCCACATGGCTGGCACCTTGAGCTACTCCTCACCTGGAAGGCTTGGCACCCTCAGATGCCTCCTCATGCAGCCCCTGGGGTGGGGGAAGTTGGTTGTGTTATTTTTACCAACAAGAAGACATTCTTCCTTCTCTTATCTCTGCCCCCACTACCTCCCTCCTCCCCTCAGCTCATTTTAGCAGATTCTCAGGAGCCCTTTCAGGGAGGGAACAGAGGGGGCACAGCCTGCCGTCCTCCATGTCCACAAAAACCTTTCCCCAGGACTGGGGACGGGGTCAGATCGGAGGCAGGCTCGGGCCCTCACTGAATCCTGAGTTTTGCTGGAAGTGGGGAGCCAAGGCTTCCCGGCCAAGTTTCACTGTTTTGTTCTACAAGATGTTCACCAGGTAACCATTTGCACGGTTGTGCTTTTAAGAAATAACCCCTCTGCTGTGTCTTTCTCACCACCACCTCCCCACCCCAATTTCTCTTCCCAGCTCCCAGGCCTCCGAATTAGCAGAGTTTATTTAGCAACCTGTTTATTCCGCTGTAAAGTTAGGATGTGTCTCATTTCTGAGGCTTGAGTTGGCTGTACCTGAGTTCGTCTTTCCTCCCCCTCCCCTTCTCCTATTAAACCGAATTCCTCCCGCGGTTCTTGTCTTTTAAAGGGGCGATAACGTGCTGGCATCTGAAACCCGGGCTTTATTTTCCTCTGGCCGTCTAGTCCCTGCCCTCCTAAGGGAACTCCCGAGTGCTTGTTTAGTTTAGCTCGTCATCGATATTAAGAGCGGACTAGAGTTGGGAGCGTTTGATCTGTAAGCGGTCCAAGCCCCGGACGGCTTTTCCTAGCTTGGTGTCGGGGAGGGCGGCGGCAAGCTGGGGCCGGGGACCTGCGTGAGTCGCCGCGCTCCTCCGCGCCCGCGTTGCGCACGGTGGCTGGAGCCTGTCACTCTGTCGTCTGGAGCCCAGAACCCGAGGTGAAAGGCCTACGCTTCTCTCTGAGACGCCTCAGCGGAGCATATGCTGCAATCCCCAAATCCATTTTTAATTCATGACATCAGTTTAGAGACCATCGGAGCCTCTAAACGGCCTCTCTCAAAACCAAAACAACCACCACAACACAAGCAAGGAGAGGAGGCGGCCGCCGTGGCGTCAAGAACATTGTCTTTCTGTCCCCAGGGAGTGGACATTTGGAAAACCACTTTCCAGAGGGCTCCTACTGTCCCTCACAGCAGAGTTGTCCCTGCCCCGCCTTTTCCTGGAGCCGAAATTGGACCCCAGGTTATTTGTTATAAAGACATAGCTGGTTTCAAAGTGGTTTCGATTAGGACTTTATAAAGTTATATTAAAATAGTGAAATATGTATTTGCAGGGAGATTAAAGACTCCCCCAAATACCTTTACACACACGCACAAATATATATCCAGAACTGTATACAATATAAGTTATGTAATGTACAATAAAACATACTGTATGTTAAATAAGTAATATAACAATGTAATATAGGAACTAGATGTTGCATATAGATTAGCCAATATATAATCTGATGAAACATATAATGCATAGTATAGTTAAACAGTGTACGAGTACAAATGGACCATATATGTTATAGATCTTATATATGGTACAATGTCCTCTGAAATAT